AGAACCATGAGAGACTATGGACTCTGAGAAACAAACCGAGGGTTCTAGAGGGGAGGGGGGTGGAGGGATGGATTAGCCTGGTGATGGGTATTCAAGAAGGCACGTACTGAATGGAGCACTGGGTGTTACACGCAAACAATCATGGTACACTACATCGAAAACTAATGATGTAATGTACGGTGATTAACATAATAAAAAAATGTAAAAAAAAAATCATGCAGATTCCTGCATTTGGTGGCAGGTTACATAATGTGGCTACCAAGATCCTTTCCAATCTTGGAGACTCAAGGCTGAGACACCTTTTATCAGGTACCATTTGAGATGGATTTATACTTTAAGCCTCAATGTTTCAACATGAAGATTTAGATTGGCTGTTTCACATTTGACTCAATTTTTCCAAATATACTTTTATCCAGAAATTGAAGTTTATTTATTTTTTTTTTAGAGAGGGGCAGGGGTGCAGAGAGGAAAAATCTTAAGCAGACTCCACACCCAGTGAAGAACCCAATACAGGGCTTGATCTCACAACCCTGAGAACATGACCTGAGCCGAAATCGAGAGTTGGGCACGGAGCCAACGCAGGTACCCAGGCACACCCACAAATTGAAGTTTATAAACCTTTACTTATCGATTTCCCCTAGATTGAATGCACCTAGACTCTAAACTTCATAGTGTTACAAAGGTACACCTAGCAGAAGAGATGACAAAGCTTGATTCCTTAAGTTCCCCCAAAAGATAGCTTTTAGAAATGAACTAAGTATTTTAAGGGAAGTTACCCTTTATGTTATAAAGTAACAGAAGCCCATTGTTAGTGTGAAAGAACAAGTCCTGAATTATTTTATAGCTTCTCTACTAAAGCCTAATTCTAAGCTGCAGAACACATCCAATATTTAAACATACACTAACATAGCTGAGAGAGAGAAAAAAGACATTGGAACCCCAGGAGCCAAAAATGACCTGCCTTCCACTAACCCCAGGTTCTAGCATATCCCTGGATATAATACAGCAGGGATGGGAGGAATTCAAAGAAATATGCTTTCAAGTGTCACATTCATTTAAGGCCGAAGACCATCCACTGTGTAAGTCTGAGCTGCTCTATTATATTTATAAAAATAAAATTTCATTACTATCACAATGGTATTTTGTACAACCCTAATGACAAAAGAACCATTTTTTTTTGCTCCCTACCTAAGATTTACAAGGCTGATCAAAAATTGAAATTATTGGTATAAAGTGATAAAATAAGACAAAGCATGGTAAAGTCTGCTTTATTGGTGGCAGTTAGTGTAAGTCAATAAATACTGATCCCCAAAGAAGAACTCATTTATTTATCTGGTCCACAGAGAGCTGAATGGAACTGAACCAACTGCCTGCTGAGATGATAAACTGAAGTCAATCCTGCTTCTTGGGAAATGAAGCCATAGCTAGCTGATATATGGCATATGCTGTTCCTGAAAAATAAAAAGAAACAAAAAAAAGAACTTCTAAGAAATTCTGAGATTTATATGCATAAACCTAATATTCTAGCTAAAAGGTTGTAAAGAGAAAGAGGCAAGTCTGGCATTATTGCTACTTTTATGGGAACATAAAAAAGTATTTTGATAGGTGCTGGCAAAATTTAAAATAAATATATGTTAAACACATTTAATCTGGTTTTAGTATCAGTTAACTTCTATAGAAAGTGTTAGATACAGTACAATAATGTATTTGTCAACTTGAATAACATGTAAAAAAATTTTTAAGTAAGTTTAAGAACATATATAAAAGGCTATTTCCATAGTAATCTAAGATTGCCTGAGAAATGCTAAGAATGATTCAAACACCAAAAAAGAGGTCAAGATATGCAAGCACTCCCTAAAGTGTATTATCAATATAAAACCAAGGAAGAAGTGATACACTTAAATTATCAAGTTTAATGTAATAGCTAATAAGTGAAAAATTATTAAAACAACCTACCAGAACTTATGATGTACTGTATCATGTACTGTCTAACTCAACAGAAAAAAAATAAATAAATAAAAATAAAAAAATAAAACTAACTACCAGAATACCTATGAAATAGTCACACTGATCAAAAAGAATTTAGGACTTTATCTTAAGAGAGCCCAAATGCCACTATCTAGTTGTTGTCTTCATCCAAAAATGCCCCTTCACTGTATTTAATCCAAGCCAAAGAAGGCACCTTGGCATGAGCAGGAAGACTTTGTAATTAGGGTTCAAATTTCAGCTTTTCCACACAGAGGCAATATTATCTTGAGTAATTAACACAATTTCTTCAACTTTAAAATAAGGACACATTACAGACTTAATACAAGGGGTCCAAAAATCCCTTCATGTGGCATTCTTATCAATAGGACAAGCACACAGTAATCACTCAAATAGTTTCCCTGACTCCCCCAGAAAGCAATCATTCAAATTCTTCACTCTGCTCCAACCATACCAGTTTGTGATATTCCACTGCTAATACTGAACAATGGACCTGCCCAATCCACAGAAAAGAACTTCAAAACACTTTGGGTACTGCAATAAGTATTGTTCTATACAGGTTGTTTCTGTCATAAACATGGATGTTGAGTGTAGTTGTAAAATGTTTTTTTATTATGTATCAAAGTAAAATTGTTCAAAAAGCCCCTGTTACAGTAGATGGGGCAGAGTAGATGGCCTGCAGGGCCACCATTAGCACACTCTGAAAGCTACCTCTATCATAAATACTCATCAAACATTATTGGTTTATTTTTTTTTAGACATTAAAATGCTCTTATATAATATGTATCAATCATCCTGTTGAATCCTTACATGCAAAGCATTAAGATCTCAGATTCTGGAGACAGACTTCCTATGTTAAAATACTGGCACAGTAAAAGCAATGAAGTTGTTAGTTATCCTTACTGTTACTTATCTATAAGTCAAGCACTCCAAATACCTTACCACCAACTGTAAGGATCATAGTGGCTCTATACAGGAGGGCATCAGCTATTCCACCCTTTAGATGCACTGGAATTCCATTATCCTCCTAGATCAAAAAACAATAATAATTAATACATGTGTCATTTGTTTTCAACTAAGTTCAAAAGACTAATCCATTTATATAAAATTAAGTGCCTCCTTAAACCCCTGGAATTAAAATATCGTAAACATCAAAATTAAAAGACTACAATTTTCCTGATTCTGTCTCTACTTCCACTAAATTAAGATAAGAACTCCTAAAAGTCAATATTCTTTCTCTTAAATTTAGTGAGATCCAATAAAGATGTTCTTTCCAAGGAATATATAAATGTTAAAGTTGTGAAAATACAGATTAAGTTCATCAACTGAATTATTAAAAAGATCAGTACTCATCACACTTTAATCATAAGATTTATTTTTTCCTTAAAAAAAGGGGGGGAAGGGGTTTGTTTATAACCTTAAATTATATCCTTAACCCCTAGTCCAGCACCTGGCATACAGTAGATATTTAATACATCTGTTAAATGTAAGTATTTTATTTTTATGTAGCATATAAATGGCCCCTGACTTAACAATGGTTCAACTTACGATTTCTCAACTTCACAATGATGTGAAAGTAATACACATTCAGTAGAAACTGTACTTTAAATTCTGAATTTTTACCTTTTCCCAGGCTAGTGATATGCAGTACAATACTCTCTGATGATGCAGGGCAGTGGCAGCCAGCCACAACTCCCAATCAGCCACACAATCATGAAGTTAAACAACCAATAAACTTACAACCATTCTGTATCCATAAAACCATTCTTTTTCACTTTCAGTACAGTATTCAAGAAATTACATAAGATATTCAACACTTTATTATAAAATAGGCTTTGTGTTAGATGACTCTGCCCATCTGTAAGCTAATGTATGTGTTCTGAGCTTGTTTAAGGTAGGCTAAGCTATATTTAGTAGGTTAACTATATTAAATGAATCTTCAATTTAAAATGTTTTCAACTTATGATGGGTTATTGTTTATAACGTAATGACATAACCCCATCATAAGTCAAGGAAGAAGCATACAGAATACAAGGCTTTTTAATCACTCAAAATTTTATTTGGGAAAAACCAGAGATCACCCAGGAAAACAAAAAAAATCACTAATAATTTAACTACTTTTAAAAGTTAATGACTCTATCCCATCATCTTTCCTCATGTGAAAACCACAACATATCCATAATATATATATGGTACATATCCATATCCATAAATATATTTATATATATCCATAAACATTTTTTTTAAAGATTTCTCTCTCTCTCTCTCTCTCTCTCTCACACACACACACACACACACACACACACACCCACGGGAAGAGAAGAGAATCGGAAGCCGACTCCCTGCTCAGTGTAGAGCCCGAGCGATCTCTGGCCTCTGAGATCACGAACTGAGCCAAAACCAAGAGTCAGACACTCAACTGACTGAGCCACTCAGGTGCCCCTGATATATGTAAATATTTTTAATGCCTACATTATCTTACTTTCTAATTTACACACACACTTATTTAATATACAAAATGAGATTATGCTGTAAGGGTCTGCCATATACTATTTTTCACTTAATGCTATTTTTTAAAAATATTTTATTTCTTTATTTGAATTTATTTGGGAGGGAGGGAGGATGAGCAGGGGGAGGAGCGGAGGGAGAAGCCAACTCCCCTCTGAGCAGGGAGCCCTTCCCAGGACCAGAGCCGAAAGCAGACGCTTAACCGATTGAGCCACCCAGACGTCCCTACTTACTGCTATCTTAAAAGCCATTCTGTTAGTCCCTTTAAGCCCACCTTATTCCTTTTAATGGCCACATAGCATTCCATTGTGCAAAAATATCATAATTGAATTAGCTAGTCTCCTATTAATGGGTATTTAGATTGTTAGGGTTTTTTTGGTATTAAAATCCTATAATGAATAACCTCTTTCCGTTTTTTTAATATTCTTATGCTACTACTTCTGCAGAAAAGATTTTTTAAAAAGATTTATTTATTTTAGAAAGGGAGAGAGTGTGTTCCCTCTATAAAATTTTTGTCAATCATACGTCAATAAAACTGGAAAAAAATATATCTTCTTCTATATGTTTTGCAGAAGCATTTATATCTGCAATTTATCTTTAAGGTTTTGAGAGAGAGAGCATGAGAGAGAGAGCGCGTATGCACGCGCCCAAGTGGCAGGGGGGGATGGGGGATGGACAGGGAGAGGGAGAAACAGGCTCCCTACTGAGCAGGGAGCCCAACATGGGGCTCGATCCCAGAACCCTGGGATCATAACCGGCTGAAGGCAGATGCTTAACCAACTGAGCCACCCAGGCACCCCTGCAATTTATCTTTTAATATACAATACAGAAGGGATCAAACTTTACTTTCTTTAAAATAGCCAATTTTTCCAATACCAACTTATTGTATCCTTTCCTCTCTGATATGAAATAGCACCTTTAATATATATTAAATTTCTACATATATATTTATTCTGTTTCTGCACCCTTTCTATGGTCTATTTGTCTTTTCTCATGCAACTAGCCCAAAGAGTGCCAACCCAATGTAACTTCTCCAAAGTGTCTTTGACCAATACCCTTTCCCTCTCATTTCTTCTACTTCCCCAAGGGCCTCTTGTATATAACAAATGCCCAATTAGCTATCAATAGTTTCTTATTATTCTTTTGCTAATATAGCAGGATCAGTAACAATCAAAACATCGCCAAATTTACTTCCTATCTCCACCTTTTGTTAATTTTACTATTACAAGTAATAACGGTCTATAAAATATTCCAGTACCTGAAACAGCTTTTGTTTCTCTGGAACTTTATTTTCAAACTGCCTGCGTGAAGCAGTACTTATGGTCCTCTGGGCAATCTGACGAACAGCCTGAAATGAAAAATCCATAGATGTTAGGCAGATTTAGGTCTTAAAGAAACCTTCAAAACCAACCATTTTCAATCTTTAATATTACAGAAGAGGGAAATTGACAGTTAAAACATATCCAATTTGTCAGTAAGAATCCTAAACCAGCAGCCAGGTTTTCCAATTGGTTGTCCATCCACTACTCTTTATATTAAAATTCTGCAGTCTCCAAAAACCATTCAAGTAACAATTCTGAGCAAAAGAAAAAAAAAAAATCATCTTTACCTGATTGAACTAGTAGTAGCATCATATAATCCTTGAGCAAAACATTGACATACAGATATTACAAAAATAAAAGAGTGATTACAAAATACACTAAGTTCAACTATTTGCATTTAATACTCTACCATATTATTAAAAATCTATTACTTGATACCAAAATAAAATGGCATGATTCCTACTTAATTAAAATGCTTTCCTCATTACATCTTTCCTAAAAAAATCTTTAATAGGGCATACTTCATTTAAAAAAGAAACTTGCATTATATACCCAACTGAAATAATGAAACAAATATGCACTCTATATTCCAAAATAAATGATACACTGAGAGGCTAAGTAAAACCTTACTGAATAATTACAAGAGAACGGTCACGGTTACATTTTCCTTCACTTTTTCGAAATTTTGGGAAAATATTTCACATGCTCAAAGCAGGAGGAGGGGTGAAGGACACTGACACTGAAGAACCGCCTGATGGACGCAACACTACACTTCTGCCATGACTGCTCCCCAAGTCCCAACCAAAAGTGAATGACTTGCTTTTTAAACCGCATTCTGATGCTCACAAAGCTCACAAACGTTGAAACTTAAAGTCTTTCAAAGTACCATTGGAACATCTTTCTGTCTGAAGCTTCCGGGTATCAGAAACTTCGCAGTTGGACCTTAGTTTTACTCATATCGGAGCTACCGACTTCATGAATGACCTATAGGTTTAGGGGTGGCCACTAAGAACCCAAGGCTGCCTAACTCACCTCTGGTCACCCTCTCAGCCTCTCCACTCCCTTCATCTACCCAACACAGGGGGCGAGAGGAACAGATGGAAGGGAAAGTAACGGCAGGCGAAAAGGACACGGACCAAGGTGACTTCGGAAGTCGCCTTTTCCCACCCTTCTTCCCTCCCAGGAGAGGTTTCTCAGTCAAGGCCCCTTAGCCTCCATTCCCTACCTTCCCGCCCCACATTAAGAATACAAGCCGAGAAGTTCCTCACCGGCAAATTCCACATCTTGGCTCAGTTACTACCCACCAACCGCGACAACCGACCACCAGGAACGAAAGTCCCCGCACCGGAACCGGAACTACCTTCTGGCCTTGCGCAAGCGTCATAAATATTTCCGGGCGGAGGAGGGGCTTGAGCTTCTCTGACCATAGAGAGCGAAAGAAAGACGAGAGCGCCGTACGGCTGTGGCCGCTCTAGCCGACTGGCCGTTTCTGTTTCTTCAGCTCGTTCCCAACCTGGCCGATGACTTTCATGGGGCTGGTCGCTGGAGCTAAGGCTGGAAGAAGCAAAGGACTTTTGAGACCGGAGTGACGAAGAGTGACGTTTCATGTACTTTTTAACTAGCTTACATAAAATTAATGTGAGACCAGGCTATCGTAGAAAATTAGTGTATTTGGAACGAGAAAGGGTTTTTGTTTTTGTTTTTTAAAGATTTTATTTATTTATTCATAAGAGACAGAGAGAGAAAGAGAGAGAGGCAGAGGGAGAAGCAGGCTCCCAAGGAGCAGGGAGCCCGATGCGGGACTCGATCCCAGGACCCCGGGATCATGACCTGAGCCAAAGGCGGACGCTTAACCATCTGAGCCACCCAGGCGCCCCGAGAAAGGGTTTTTTAAAACTTAGCAAACTTTGAGCCATTGTATAGACGTTGAAAGAACACTGGGTTGGCCATTTGTGAAGCTGCATGAAATACAAAACAAAAAGGATAACTCCTCTTACACGGATACAATCCGTTTTTTCCGCTGATGAAACTTTGTGAGGGCGTCATTGTTCCTTGTGCTGAGACTGTGCTGCAAGGAGCTGCGTCGGGATACCAATTTTTATCTTTTTGTACCTTTGGATGCTGCAGGACTCCCCACGCAAGAAACTACCAGTGTCCCGAAATTGTGGAAGCTGTTCGCTCGTTTCTCCGTGTCTGGGAAAATGCTGAAAAGAGGGGGTAAAATTTAATTATGGGGCAAGAAATGGGACGGCAAATCTGGGCTCTTAATTAAGTCTTACTGTCTCAGGTCGAGCGGGGCACTTTCCTTGATTGGAGTGGGTAGGCAGAGCAATTATTGTAGATAGGCTGTGTATCTTGTATCAGTTTTGCCTAAATAATGTCACATTACAAATATCTTTATCCTCTGTGCCCACCAAGTGTGTATAAATATAAACATATTTACCCTGTACTAAAATCTTTCCACCTTTTTACAAACTCTTCTGATTATTCCATTGTGATTTCAAATAGACAGTGGATAATATATGGGTTCAGCATAGGTGAAATGTGTGGATAAAAATTAGTAATATCAAAATTATTCCCTCTCATCTTTTGGGTTAGATCCACCAAGTTATCTGTCCCCAGTTCAGATTCTCTTCCTCACCAAGGTTTTTAAATAGCCAATTTATCTCTCTCTTCCCTAGATAAGGACTGAAAGGATCTGACTTAATCTCCTCCCTGTATTATGCACTGCGATCAAATCCTTGAGGACAGTTACCAGGTGCCAATAGCTGGAGCATACAAATTTTTAAAAAGTAGATTGTCTAGAATTTGAACTTGTTAAAGTTTTATGTGCTGTCTTACCATTTTCTCCATCTAGATTGTAAACTTCTCAAGAACAGAGATTAATTTTTTACCAATTCCCTAGTACTGCTTAAAGGGCTAAAGGTTAGCCAGCAGATGAATTAATGATATATTGGGAAATAGATCTACATATTGGATGAAGGACACTTATGGCTTTGTCCAAAAAGAACCAATGATTCACATAAATTAGATCCTAAAATAGATGCAGATCCTTATTTGCATGTCACTTAGTACAATTTCCCCCTTTTTACTTGATCATTCCATCAGCATAAACATATTCCCATATTAAACAAACATTTAAGTTACCATCCCATTTCTCTTCAAAATAAAACACAGATCTCTTTATACTTGTCTTCTCTTACTCTCCTAATCTTTTTTTAAATCCCATTTTGGGCAGGCTTTTGCTGCTTTTCCTAGGATCCCCAATGGCCTTTACATTGTTAAATAAACTGTCAATCTCAATTTTCATCTTTTCCATCTATCAGCAACATTTAACATAATTGATCACTCCTTCACAATATACTTTGTTTTAATTTGGAAATAAGCCATAAATGCCATTCAGTATAACATATATGTATAGTTTCAAACACAATCTTAAGGAGCTTCCTCTGTACACTACTCTTTTGATGGTTCTCCATTTCAGCAATGTTTTTAGTTTCCTGAAACCTCATCCTCTCAATCTCTAAATTACAGAGTACCGCCTTTTTTTTTTTTTTTTAACATTCAACCCTTTTGTGATTTCATCCAATGCCATGAAATACCATTTGTGTGCTGACAACTCTCCAGCCTGACCTTTTCCTTTAACCCGACATCTCCACTTAGATGTCTAATGGACATCTCAAACCAAAACTGAATTCTACTCTCCACCCCTTATTTCCAAGGCTTCTCCTCTGCAATTTTCTTCATTTCAAGCCCAAACTCTGTTTTCCATCATACTCTATAAACTAACCCATTAGAAAATTCTGTTGAATACATACACCTTCAAAATAAAATCTGACTCTGACCGCTTCTCATGACTGCTACCCACCACTCCAGACCAACCCACCATCTCTTGCTTGCATGACTACAAAAGCGTTTTTAACCAGCTTCCCTACATGTACTTTTACACTCAAGTCTATTTTCCACACAGGGATGATCCTTTTAAAGATTTAAGTTAGATAATGACTGTTTACAACTGTTTTCTTCACTGCTGTACTTGCAGCATCTGGAATGGTAACTGGCACATAGAAAATGCTCAGTAATTATTGGTTAAATGAATAGTATGTCGCATGAAATAACTTATTGAGAATAAACACTCAAAAAATCTTGGATATTCATTGTACTACTTTCAAACATTTTTCAGTCCCAGGATTCCTCACTCATCATCTCCTTGTTCTTATTCTGTAAATTGTGATTATCCTGACAGAAAAATATACCTGAAATTTGCCTGGGTGCCTATCAAACTTTATTGGATCTTCTCAAGCACACCTGAAATTTATTTCTAGATTTGTAAATTTATCCTCTGTAGCAGAACAGTTATTTTCAAAAGTTTCCTTTCCAAAACATCAGTTTGAGGTTCGTTTGTAATATTGGAAAATTATTACTAGATTACTAGACATGATTAGAAAGTATATCCGGAGGGTTTCTGAACATTATAATAGGACTGGCAGTACACTATTTAGGTATATTGCTGATGCAAAGTTACCAAATCACAGTTATTCAATCTTTCCCTTTAAAAAAACAAACAAGATTACAATCCTTACTTTGATCCTGCCTATAGCATCTATAAATAAAAAGAGGAAAGCCAGAATAGAGATTTGTGTGATTGGGATGTGGGTTTTAATTCTGGAACCATGCTTAATCCACTTCCAGTTTTTTGGGTTTTTTAAAGATTTTATTTATTTTTTGACAGAGAGACAGTGAGAGAGGGAACACAAGCAGGGGGTGTGGGAGAGGGAGAAGCAGGCTTCCCACGGAGCAGGGAGCCGATGGGAGGCTCAATCCCAGCACCCTGGGATCATGACCTGAGCCGAAGGCAGACGCTTAACGACTGAGCCAACCAGGCGCCCCAATCCACTTCCAGTTTTATAAAAACAATATAGTAGAATAGCTTCATGTGAAGTTTAATGTACAAAAACTGCTAGCTACAGAAAAGATAGCACTTCAAAATAATTCCTTTTCTTTGATTATTACAGTTAGGAATCAAAAAACACTTGGTTATCTCTTAATTGCTGTATTCATTATTAAATAATTTTATCTAATTGCCAAGCCTCAGTCTTTTCATCATTTAAGTTAAGGACTGGCTTTGGATTAATTATCTCTAGCTCCAAAATCCTTGTGTATGAAAAATAATATATAAAATATATTATTGAGTTCACTCCTGTTGAACAATAATTTATTGGCTACCTAATATGATTCCAACACTTTGCAATATGTTCAGGGAAAAACTTTTAAAATTCCAAACCTTCTGGAGCATATAATCTAATTAGGAAGGTTAATAAACACATAATAGTAAGTTATGATGTGTATACAAATGAGTCTTAGGTAACTGGTTTAGCAAAAGTTGCTCATGGGAAATTCAAGGAAGATAGCAGTCATTAGTAAAGTTTGGAAAGACTAAATTTCAGCAGTCTTGTAGAATTAGAATAAATGAAGTAGTGAGTTTTAGCAGGGTCCAACAGAATAAATGGAGTAGAGATTAAAAGGCATTCTAGACTTAGAGCAAGAACATGATTAAAAACCTGGATTTAGAATCAAGCATGATCAACTGCAGGAACTTTAAAACAGACGGCTAGGTGTAGTGAAAAGAAAAAATATTGTAGTTAATAACTTGAAGTCAGACAGATCCTGAATCTGTCACTTAATAGTGATTATGACTGAAGGCAAGTTTCATAATCTATACTTCAGTTTATCTGTAAAATGGATAATAGTATCTATCATCATTGGATGGCTGTGAAGATTAAATGATATAATTAAATAAACGTTAACTTTTTAAAGATTTTAGTTATTTGAGAGAGAGAAAGAGAGCACACATGTTTGCGGGCAGGGAGAGGGACAAGCGACTCCACATGGAGATCACCACCTGAGCCAAAATCAAGAGTCCACCACTTAACCTACTGAGCCACTCAGGCGCCCCTATAAATGTTAACATTTATTATGGAAGAAAAAGTTGGGTGAAGAGATCAACAAAATCCAGGCAGAGGGACAGCCTAGACAGAGGCTAAGACGAGAAGGTGAACAGATGTTTTTGGGGACTGTGAATACTATGGTAGCAGAAAGACAAATGAGGGGCTGAGGGAACAGTGGAAGAAGGCAGGGTGAAATTTTAATAATGATTTTAAATTTTATCCTGAAGGTGAATGAGGGCCATTTAAATTTATGGGGGGATGCCTGGGTGGCTCAGTCGGTTTAGCATCTGCCTTCGGCTCAGGTCATAATCCCAGGGTCCTGGGATCGAGTCCTGCATCAGCCTCCTTGCTCAGCAGGGAGCCTGCTTCTCCCTCTGCCTGCCGCTCTCCCTGCTCGTGCTCGCTCTCTCTCTCTCTCTCGGGCAAATAAAA